CCTCCAACTAATAAAAATAAATGAAAAAAAAAGAATGTGAATTTTTGTAACTATGTAAAAGAACATTTTAGTGAACACTTTAATATTTGTTTCTAAAGTCTAATTTCTTCAATTTGTGTAATCTTGCTACAAGTAATTAAATTCACATCCATAGATTTTTATATAATGAGTGCTTTACTTCAGAAATTGAATGCTTTATATTTTAGAATCTTGTAGAATGAGGGTCAGCAGAATTTTCTCTAAATGGCTAACAAATAGTTCAGCCTTTGTGGGACAAGAGACAAGATTTGAGGATATTACATAGGTTCTTCTGTAACGAGAAAAAACAGATATCCATGCTTTTCATTATGTCGGTCTACGAGTGAGCAGAGTGGAATTTATTTATGGAAACTGAAACATGAATTGCTTATAATTTTCATGTGTTATGAGATATTACCATGTAGAAAATAACAAATGCTCGAGAGGATGTGGGACAAGAGAACCCTCCTATACTGTTGGTGGGATTGTAAATTGGTGCAGCCACTACGGAGAATGGTATGGAGGTGCCTCAAAAATCTGAAAAGTAGAGTTGGCATATGATCTATCACAGGCCTCCCAGGTGGCCTGTGGTAAAGAATCTGCCTGCCAGTGCAGGAGATGCGGGTTCAAACCTTGGGTCTGGAAGATCTCCTGGAGCAGGAAATGGCAACCCACTCCAGTGTTCTTGCCTGGGAAATCCCATGCACACAGGAACCTGGCAGGCTACAGTCCATGGGGTCGAAAAAGAGTTGGACATGACTTAGTGACTAAACAACAACAATAGCATATGATCTATCAACACCACCCCTAAGCATAGATCCAGATAAAACTTTGAAAAGATACACGCAGCCCTATGTTCATATCAGTGCTATTTTATAGTACCCTATATATATATAAGATAATTATTTTTATTGGAATATATATATAGTGTAATCTTAGCCATAAAAAGGAATGAACTTTTCAATACCATTTACAGCAAATAGCAAATGTCATTTATAGCAAATAGATGATCATACTAAGTAAAGGAAGTCAGAAAGAGAAAGACAGATACCATATGATATCATTTATATGTGGAATGTGAAATGTGACACAAATGAACTTATCTATGAAACAGAGACAGACTCACAGATACAGAGAACAGACTTGTGGTTGCCAGGAGGATGGGTGAGGGGGTTGCATTGAAAGTTTGGCACTAGCATATGCAAGCTATTCTTCTAGAATGGATAAACAATAAGGTCCTGCTGTATAGTACAGGGTACTATAGTCAATATCCTGTAATAAACCAAAATGGAAAATAATATTTAAAAGTATATGCACATAATATATAAAACTGAATCACTTTGCTGTACACCAGAAACTAATGCAATTTTGTATGTCAACTGCAAATAAAATATAAATAGAGAAACCACTCCTACCATTCTGGCCGTACAAAAACAGGGCAGGCTGGGTTTGGTTCAGGGGCTGTGGTTTGCCAGCTATTCCCTAGAACACAAGTTCTTGGACAGTAAGTACTCCATAACCCAGGAGTGAGCTTTATGAGGTCCTTGAACTTCTCGAGATCACAATTTGTACCCATATTAATTTTTCCATGGGCAGGGTCCACAGCTCTCATCAGACTCTCAGAGAAGTTCAGGACTTGAAAAAGATTAGGTGCCACTGTTCTAGAGACAATTCACCAAATTTTAGAATGCATTTCCTAAGGCCCTGACAGTTCCTAGGTACTTGGGGCTTCCCAGGTGGCACTAGTGGTCAAGAACCCATCTGGCAATGCAGGAGACAGAAGAGACATGGGTTTGATCCCTGGGTTGGAAAGATCACCTGGAGGAGGGCATGGCAACCCACTCCAGTATTCTTGCCTGGAGAATCCCATGGACAGAGGAGCCTGGTGGGCTACAGTCCATAGGGTCACAAAGACTCAGACATGATTAAAGCGACTAGCATGCACACACATGCAAGTGACCAGTAACTTGTGGGAATTCCTACCCTAGCAGCTAATACTGCAAGACACATTGAGAGTAAATAATTGTCTAGGTGATCTTTTTATTCATAAAGTCAGTTGTTGCCATCGTTCTTGTTGGTTTTATAAGATTCAAGAATGATGAAAATCCATACCCTTTGTTCTAAGAGAAAAACTTTCTCATATTTTCAAATATTTAGTAAATGATTTGTAGGCTTGAGTGAATATCTGAAACATATTTAAGTGCCCAGTCAATTTGGTCTGTATATAGAAATCAGATTCAACCTGTTAGGTACCTTTTTCTTTAAAATTAAGACTGCCCCACAGATTGGTTCATGTTTAGCTCAACTTACATCAAGGGCTGCAAGACAGGTACAGGAAGGATTAAATTTGCTAATTAAAATTGAATGTGTGAACTTGGGGCTGCCTGATATAACAGGTGGCTGTTAAATAAAGCTAAGCCCTTGAATGTTCAAATTCATGAAAATGGAATACTTACCCTGGAGCAGAGGTGGTGGTAAAAAACAGAAATGTCCATTTGAAAATAAATAAGAAACTCAGGAGTTCCAGCTGTGCCCAAGGGGTTGAGAATTAAAAAGAAAAAAAACCCTGCTTCTTCTCAATAAACAGCATTATAGAATCAAGTTTATATCAAAGAGGAAATGCTTGTAAAATCTACAACGCTAACTTTAAAATGTAAATATGATACAGTATAATCTTACAAACCCTAAACTTTTTCAGCAAGCCCCTTGCACTTTTTATATAGACTTCCAATTAATTTACAGCTTGCTTTCATGAGATTGGAACATATAACAAACCTAAGAAGGTTAAAACATATTCTAAGTTAACCAGTAAATTTTCCCCCAAAAAGGAAGGAAAAAAATACAGAAGTTCGGAGCTATTATAATAGGAAGCATTGCTACATGTCCGTTATTCCTAAATATTATTAATTGATTGATATTTATTAGTGATTAATAATTTTGTAATATAGAAAACTCACTCATCTGCCAGTTTTCCTTTTAATTCAGTAGCTTTAGAAAATATAATAATGGCTCTTCTGGGTTCTGTGATTTTACCATTTGAGATTTTTGCTAATTTTGAGACAGCCTGAATCATCAAATTGATAAAGTCTGTCTTAGCTCATTATATAAAATAATATCACATCAGTTAAGTCCTGAAGCTTTATATTTCATTCTATGAGAAGCATGATATGTTCCTATATCACAGTGCTAGTTAGGCTGGGTCAGCCCGTGGCTTTTGTCCTCAAACCTTAAAGCACTTCCTCTGACTGCCCCATCATCTTTCCTGCCACCTGGTGTCACCCCTTTCCTCTTAAAGCTCTTGGCCACCATGCCTTCTCTACTTACCGTGATGAGTCTTACCAGTTTTGAAGGGAGCAGGACATGCTCTTTCTGTTGTTCCTAACTTGCCAGTTAGCTAATGATAAATTCACCTATGGAGAAGGAAATAGCAACCCACTCCAGTATTCTTGCCTGGAAAAATTCTATAGACAAGAGGAGCCTGGCAGGGCTACAGTCCATGTGATTACAAAAAAGTTGGACACAACTTAGTGACTAAACTACAAACTCATCTTAAGGGAGAGTGCTAATGGGGAAGCCCTTCCTTCCAAGGTGAATGTGGTTTGTAACACGGGTTTCATGGAGAAGGCTGTGCTGGTGAAAATTTCAACTCCAACTAGAGGGTGGCAGCATGAATATAGATTGTCCCTCACTTCATACTCTACAGAGTCCTATTCTACCTCCATTTAGAACTGTTCCTGTTATTATGATCTAGCACAAGATGTGGGCACAGCTTGACAATGCAATAGATTTTTTAAGTGAAAGAAATTAAAAAGAAAGCAAGAACACATGCTGTTAGTAATACATGAGATATCACCAGTTGTATAGCACTGCACCTACCTTATAAAGTCACTATTAGAAATATACTACATTTAACCAGGATTTGTTATTCATTCATTAAAATGTTTACATTTATTTTTAAATTATGTCATTGATTTTATCAGTCATTCACTATGTATATTGGGTGCTGTAGGGGAGGCAAGAGAACTGTCAAAGGAATTATGACCACATTGAGAAGAAAAGACGCTCCCATGTGGAACAAACTGGAAAACAGCAGAGTAAAGTGATAAATTATTTCATCACAGATAATAATAAAGGCAATACATATATTACACACTTTGAGAATCAGGACTGTTAAAAAATTTAAAAACCCAATAATAGCCTTTTGCATTTCCAAGACTTTTACCAGTTATACTCTAGTGTATGTATCTACCTTATAATCCTGTTAACTCTCCCTGCCTAGTAGGAATCCTATTTAGGATATTTAGGGCCCTCTTTTAAACTGTGCATATCATCTGGTCCCTTAGATAAAGACAAGGCTAGTCAAGTCAGATTCGTTTGTAAAATGAGACCTCTTAAAAAAAAATGACCATACCAATCTCCTTTTAGGTAGACAGCAAGAAGTTAAAGCTCTCACCTTTTAAAACCTACTCTTCTCTTCCTCCCTCCTTGCCTGTCTTCATAATTGATAGTGGGCCGGGAAGAAAAGCAAGTGTTTGGTAGGGCAGGTGGGAACCATGGTAGGACCAGAAGCTTTGGAGCAAAGCAGTACTGCCAGAAAGAGAAAGGAGGATAGTGAAATGAATGGGACCTTCAGATTGCCCACATATATGATATCGACGGTGACAAGGTTTTTAGATAAAAGTGGAAGTGTTAGGGAAAACATGTTAGGAACAGACTCCATCAGTGTGATTTGATTTACCTAACTCATAAGTGTTAAAATTATGTGGCTTGGCTTATCAGCTTACCAGTAAGTGTTACTCAAAGAGATTTGTTGGTTTAAAAGGAACTCTTGTATGGGAATTAATATGAGACTAAAAATAAATCAGAAGATAAAATGGTAAATTTTGATATGGCTTATGCTTTTTGAAAGACTGCTTCTTTGTGTAATAATAGGAATAATCTATTGACCTCTAACACCTTTTTTTTCTCTTTTAAACATACAGAATTCTTTTCCTATGAATCCTGCAATTGCAGCTAATCCTGCCATGGTTTACAATCCTTACTTACCTCCTCATCCTGGGATGGGCCTGGTCCCCGCCGAACTGGTACAAAACGCACCTGTTCTGATTTCTGGAAACCCACCTCTTCCACTGCAAGGGGCTATTGGTCCAAAACCGATCCGTTCAGATAAACTGGAGGTATTTGTGTAGAAATCTATGAATACTTACAAGGGTAGATATCAGCCTTATGCATAAACATTTCCAGAACCTGGTGTCTTGAATGCTTTAAATAAGTACATCTGGGTTTGAAGCTTCTGGAATATTACCTCGGAGAAATATTAGACATTTTACTACTGCAATTTTACCCTGTTATGAATACACGGTTGTACAGTGGGTCAAACAGTGCCCTAGTTTGCCCGGCCGCAGACTGTGCATCCCCTCTGCTATGGCACAGGAAATCTGGTGGGCATGCTCCAGCTTTACAGTCTGGAATTACAGTCTGTATTCACTGGTGGGTCTCTACTTGCTAGAATAATCAAGCTGAAAATAAAAGGCCCATTAACTGTCTCTGAATGCAGAATGTAAATGAGTCTCATAGAGTCTACACCTGTTTCTCCATATTAAGAATGATGTGCTAGATCAGAACTATCCTTATGCCTAAGAAAAGGAAACTAAAAGAAAATTGCAAACAGCTTTTCAATTTATGGAAGTCCTTCAAACTATGTCCTTTTGCATAAGTTGAAATCAATAACTAGTCAATTTCTTACCAAGTCAGCTTCATTGGCAACTCCTCAAATGCTTGGCCATGTATTGGACTGGAATCTGTACTTATCCTTTAGTCGTGGTGCACACGTCTGCTTGTAAAAAGCACATTGTTGTGTGATAAAGACACATCTTGGCCCTTAACAAAATAATCCCCTCTTGCAAATGTAGCTAATTACACTTTAGGCTATGTATCAAGTGGAGGATTACAAACTGGTTTTCAATAATTGGTTGTTGTTGGTTAGTTGCTAAGTCATATCCAAGTCTTTTGTGACCCCATACACTGTAGCCCACTGGGCTCCTCTGTCCATGGGATTCTCCAGGCAAGAATACTGGAGTGGGCTGCCATTTCCTACTCCAGGGATCTTTCCAACCCAGGGATCAAGCCTGCGTCTCCTGTACTGGCAGGTGATTCTTTATTGCTGAACCACCAGGGAAGCCTAGTTTTCAAGAATACTTTCATTTCAATGTAGGGAAAGCTGACAAACTTCCTTTGGGGACAATGGATTGTTATCTTTCTTAGAAGAGAAATTTTGTTTATGTTTATGTCTCATAGTGACTATGGCTTGACATTATCCTTCAGCTTTTGAAATTTTTCCTAAATAGATGTCAAAAGAATGTGTATTGTTGCTCTTACATTCACTGGCAAAATAAATAAAAACTAATAACCTTCCAAGCGTCACTGTGATTTTTTTTTTCTTTAAGGTTTGCCGTGAATTTCAGCGAGGTAATTGTACCCGTGGTGAGAATGATTGCCGCTATGCTCACCCTACTGATGTGTCCATGATTGAGGCAAGTGATAATACTGTGACCATCTGCATGGATTACATCAAAGGTCGATGCTCCCGAGAGAAATGCAGGTATTTTCATCCTCCTGCGCACTTGCAAGCCAAACTCAAAGCAGCTCATTACCAGATGAACCATTCAGCTGCCACTGCAATGGTAAGAACAGGTCAGGATTTGTTGACTCTCTGTTTGGGGATAAATGATTCATATATGCCTCAATTTGTCTAATGCCCTGGAATCACATCTTGGATAGTCATGAGTGGACCTTAAAATGAATCTCTCAGGATATAAACTGGAAAGGAGAGAACCTATTTATTCTAATTCACTAAAAGTCTCTAAAGGTAATTATTTAAAAGCTTTCCTAATGATTCCTACTGTGCTTTTTCTCCCATTTTTTAAGAAGGAGTAAATTATACAACTTAAACAGTAAATTATTTTTGAGTGATTTTTACAGCCTAACTAACCTTAATATCCTGTGAGCCACCTAGATGGGCACTTTGCTGGTAACATCCTTAGTAACTTTCAAACACAGAGGACTTGGAGGATGAGTTGGTGATTAAGTTCTAATTTCCCAAAGGTTGATGATTTCAAGGCAGCAGCCAGGCAAGGCTTGGGGGGTAATTTCTATATGGTTGGGAGAAGAGGCCTGACTATTGAGTTGCCGTAGTAAGTAAATTTTGGAGAAAAGTTAGTTCTACCTAACTATGTAAGGTAGGAGGTAGGAAAAATACTTGCATAACACTATTGTGTGATAGGCTGAAAAATAGGAATTATGATTACTTAGGTTTGTCATAGTTGTCAAGTATTTTGATAGGCTGTAAGCTATCCATTTCTTTTACATCCTGGGCCTTTCCTCATGTAATAGGGTATAACCCAAATAAGGGACAACATCCTGAGGAAACCTCATTTTTCCTGGCTGTGGGAAAAAATCACCTCTGTGACCCTGAAGCCCATGACAGAGATCTTTCCTTTTCATAAGAGAGATACGTTTATTTTCAGGCATCCCTATTTATTGAGAAGGTTTTCCTCATACTAAGTTAAACTCTACCTCACTTTTAACTGGAACATACACTTATTTTATTACCAAAAAAAGTCTATCCCTGTTTCATAGGAACCTGATTCTCATGTCTTTTCTCTAAGCCAAATACCCCAAATTTCTCCAAACTTTTCTCACAGATGACAGCTTTGTGGCCACAGCACCAATGTTGGATTTCTTCCTCGTTCTCAGTAACCCTGCTCTCTCAGAACTGAACCCACTAATTTGTGAAAGAGCTGAGTACCAACATAGAACACACTTATTTTCTCCCTTGATCTGGACAGCAGAATCTGTGAATGAATGTTAAAAAAAAAAAAAAAAGACTTCATCACATTTTTTGTCTTAAATTCTTTTGAATGAGGGAATTTTAAGCTATGAAAATAGGAAGGTATCCAGAATATCAATGCAGAATTTAAGCCTCCAATTGTTAGTTATTTCTGTTGGTGGCACAGAGAGGAAGTACATTTGGCCCCCTGAAAATAAAGGTTCTCCTATGTATGGGATGCACGAGAAATGGCTTGCCTGTGCTTTGGTAAACCTGTCCCATGCTCAGTCATGGGACTTTCATATGTATGTGCCTATTTCTGATGATTTTGGTGTGTTTGGTAAGATATATATGTCAGCCCCAAATTTCCATATAAAGAGTTAAATATACTATATAATAGGCCTTCAACTGGTGTTTTTGAACATCAATATAAAATGCTTTTCTGAGTCATCAGAGCAGAGTCTTAAAAGTTGCATTTACCCATAGGAAATTGTGTGAGATAAGATTAAACAAAGGAGGCTGCATGAAGAAGTTTAAGCTTTCTGTATTGTAAGGATTCACAGTTGAAATGCTTTTTGAAAGGGAGATTTTTTTTTTTTACTCTGTTCTTATTCATGCTCAGATTGAAATCACTTAAAGCAACTTGTACGCATATAAAAGACTTGAAGGGACGCTATAAAGTTCCCAAATAAAGTAGGGATACTGTTAGGCCTTCTTTATCCACAGGAATAAGGAGGTCATGGCATGCCCTCATTGGCATATGGAAGGCTAGGTACTCAGCATAAATGTGCCCGTCTCCTTAAGAATTTGGACCTTACCCAGTTGTCGCCGGGACATGTTTTTAACATACTCTGCAGTTAGTAGAGGGGAAAATGTCAGGTCCAATTTCTCCAGTGAATCTGATCCAGGGGCAAGTTTGACTGAATATTATAAGCACAGTAGGATTTTAAAGACTTGTAGAAATGAAAGGAAGATTTTAACTCAGTAAGAGTAAAACCTCTTACCTTAAATTCAGCTTTACAAGGTCTTAACAAAGCAAACAGTACATACCGAAATGCACAGTGGGTCTCTATAAATAAATGAGAATTGCATACATTTTGCTAACTATGGTTTCTAGGTGAGGCAGATGGTGCAGGCGATTAATTCATTTGCTTTTTCCTTACATATTAGTTGGGAAATACACAATTATAGGGTTTGGACCCGAAATCCTTGTATAAATTGAATTTTGGATTTTGGAGCTACAGAATCAGACTCAGATCTACCGACATCTCTTTTTTTTTTCACCTATATGCCATTGTCTCCTTGATTTAGATCAGAATTTTAACTGGCAAAAATCCCTTTCCTATTAGTAAGTTGCTTCTGCTAATCTCATTTTAATAGGTGGATAGATGAGCATCCCTTAGATGTTAATTTGATTTATTTTTCATTTTTATTTGTTTGTTTATTTTTGGTTGCACAGGGTCTTTGTTGCTGCGTGCGGGCTTTCTCTAGTTGTGGTGCACAGACTTATTGAGGTGGCTTCTGTCGTGGCAGAGCACAGGCTCTAGGGCGCCCGGGCTTCAGTGATCGAAGTTCCTGGGCTCTAAAGCACAGGCTTAGTAATTGTGATGCTTGGGTTTGTTGCTCCGCAGCATGTTGGATCAGGGATTGGAACTGTGTCTCTTGCATTTGCAGGCAGATTCTCCACCACTGAGCCACCTGGGAAGCCTTTGATGTTCATTTTAAATGATTATTTGCTGTCAACAGCATCCTGTCACATCTTGCCCACCTGATGAAGCCCTTTTCAACTTCACTCATTTGTCTAAATTAGTGAAGCTGAAAAACTTCTTTCTCCCTGGTATGTTCATTTTCTGTTTTGGACTGAGTATGTACTCATATAGTGAACGACTTCATCTTTTTAGTTGGTTACCTTGCTCAATGGTGACCCTCGCAAAGGGTTCCCAGACCAGACCTTATCTAACTGCTGCTTGCTTGGTCTGAGTACATATTTTACTTTCCTTGGTACTATTTCTTAATCTATCCTTCCCTCACAGGGCCTTCAGCCTGGTACACTTCAGCTGATACCAAAGAGATCGGCACTTGAAAAGGCCAATTGTGCCCCCCCAGTCTTTAATCCCAGTGTGTTCCACTGCCAACAGGCTCTGCCTAACATGCCGATGCCGCAGCCGCAGCCGCAGTTCATTCCTACAGGTGAGAATGGGGCCGGGCCCTGGAAGTTGAGTGGTGTTGTGAATGAATACAGTTTACCCCAGCTTTCAAAGAACTTTTCTGTGAGGATGGTCAATGGGTATTTTGATTAGAAATAAAATGACGCAATTATGTGTCTGTTTGCATACAGAACAAACTGTTTTCCTGTGATTCCTGAAAATTAATGGTTTTGAAATCAAACTAGGAAACGCTGTCAGCATTTTTCTTTTGAGCATTTCTTAATTTTCGCTTTTCATGTTTGATTCACTTGTTTCAGTCTTAAACTAATTCTTTGACTCTTAGGTATCACTTTCAAAGGCAATGGTCTGCTCTCACAAAAGGTTCGGAGCTTCAACATTGTAAAAATAGGTAGTCTGTATATCTTTGATATGCCAAAGATAGTTATAATAAAACTACCTTTAAATTTAGATTACAGAATAATACTATATATATATATATATACACACAGTATAATACAGTGTGTATTTATATAATACAATATAAAACAGGGAGTTTTAGCCTCTAACTCTTAAATCAGTTAATATAAAATATATGGAAGTTTGTCACATTTTCCTAACACTTTGCAGCATATTTTATTACCTCCTATATTCAACTATATTTACTAGTATAACAGTTTTGTACAAAATTGAAAAGAAAAATTTAAGCCATAGTCTTTTAAAATAAACATCATATATGAGGGGAAAATACTTTTCTTCCAGTGGTTTAGTACTTTAAGAATTAGCATATAATCTCTTAGGAATAAGTTGAAAATGCTAACCACTGGGAGTCCAGTAGACTTTTTTTTTCTTTTTTTGGTCAGAATCTTAAATGCCCCAGTTTGGAAACTATTAAATGAAAATCGCATGCTTTAAAAATTAATTTAGAAACCTTGTTAATTATAAGCATATTAAGCACATAATAGTATTATATGCCTGGACTTAAAGAAACCCATTGATTCACTGATATGTTAATCAGTTAATTAATTTTGAAAGAAGCCATAAAAATCTTAACTTCTATCCAGTTACTAACCATAATAGTTCTTCATACCATTTAAAAACACAATTTTTAGACTTTTTTGAGCTGGATTTGGCTAATTTAAAAATCTAGATTCATAAGCAAAACTGTCAGAAGAATCCCTTTCCCCTTAATTTATGGCAAAATAAAACCTTGTCAGGTTGAGAGCCTCCCTTGGTAAAAATCCTGTTTGCCATATGTTCACAGTCAAGTCCTTGATCACTAGGTGGGGGAGGCCATGATAGCAGATTAGTGCCCTAAGTAGAACTTGCTGGCACCAGCTGCCAGATCTTGGTGCATATTTTGAAAATCATATATGTAATAAATTAAAACTCTCCCTTTCATAATAAAAATCACTTAGGATGTATTCATCCAAAATAAATATATAACTAATTTAAGTTGAGCTAATGCCTTTAAAGAAAAAATTAACATTCACTTTTATACCTAAGAATCCAAGAATTACTCTGATCACCTGGGTTTGGGGTCTTAAGCTATAATTGTGAGCATGGGAGATTACTGGATATGCATGTGCTGGTTAATTAATATTGCTAAGAATATCATTCTAGTTAAAAATTATTTCTATCAATAAAGCTTTAATAATGAAATATCTCTTTTCTTTACTTTTCACGCTTTTCTGCATGGTGTCCAGGGCCAATACTGTGCATGGCACCCGCTTCAAGTGTTGGTAGGTTTTGTACAAAAATTCTCAACTTTTTCTAATCTGAAAAAAAAAGTGTTTTTTATTGTGACTATGAAAGAAACAAGCAACTGAATGATATAGCTGAACATTTTCTGAGTATTTAAGTTTTAATATGGTGCTGTCTGTTACATGTTTTTGTGAAATCACAGCAGCCCTACACTCTCAAGTTCTAGTTCATTGCTCCTGTGGTTGAATACTGACCTTGCCATTTCTGTATTTTCACAGTACAAATTGCAGCTAAAATATTTTGAAACATTTCCTTATCTAGCTAGAATGGGCAGTTTTATTCTTTGGTTTACATCTGTTACTAAGAAATTGTAAAATATTTAAAATACTTCAAATGTAGAATTTGTAAAGTACAACAAAACCATTCTTCCCAAAAAAAGTTACCCAAAAGATCAAAATCATTCAATATTTAGATGTTGCAAAAAAGCAAAACTAGAGCCTTCTGTAGTGTTTTGTAATGCTTTCTATAGTGTTCTAGGATGAAGTGCCATCTGCACAGAAATCAGGCACCACAGGATCATTTCAAAATGACTCTTTGGGGGTATGTGATTTTTAATAACCAGTAACACAGAGAACCTTTAATTAGCCACCCATCCAATATGGTAGCCATCTCAAAACCATTTTGTGCATGTATATGTGCTAAGTCACTTCAGTCATGTCCAACTCTGTGACCCCATAGACTGTCGCCCACAAGGCTCCTCTGTCCATGGGAATTCTCCAGGCAAAAACGCTGGAGTGGGTTGCCATGACCTCTTCCAGGGGATCTTTCCCACCCAGGGATCAAATCCATGTCTCTTACATCTTACCTGCTTTGGCAGGCAGGTTCTTTACCACTAGCGCCACCTAGAAAGAAAACAAGGAAAGCGACTCGTTTGCCTCAGAACTCCAGGGGAGTTCACAGCTCCTGTCATTTCCATGGGCATCAGGAACAGACCAGGAGAAAATAGCTCTGTTCCACACAGGGAAGAATTACCCCACCTCACCCCACCATCTCATATCAATCCAGTTCCTTTTATCCTTTTGGAGAGTTTGCAACAGCTTGACCTCCATCTCATTGGTCAGCCAAAGTTGCTGCAGAGTCCAAAAGGGACTAAGGGGTTTATCAAGATAAAGCAAAAACCTCAAAATGACAGCCACATAAGTAGTAACACTCACTGACAGGCGAGGCCACTGTTACTGTGATGCCCTGTCAGAACTCAAAGCATCTCCACTGATACTAGCGGAAGCATTATATGCATATGATTAGGAGAACAGACTTTTGCAAGTTGGTGAAATGTGCCTCCATCTTCCCATTTCGTGGCTCCGCTCCCTTGTCCTTTCACCTAAGGGTTCTGTGTAGGAATGCACATGCATGCTCCACTGGTACTGTTCCTTATGCAGTTGCTGTGCTCCTAAAGGGAAAACAAGAGTGTTTTTAGAACTCAAAGGTGCTGCAGTAAGGGATGGACTTCCCTGATGGCTCAGATGGTAAAGAATCTGCCTGCAATGCAGGAGACTTGGGTTCAATCCCTGGGTTGGGAAGATCCCCTGGAGGAGGGTATGACTACCCACTCCATTATTCTTGCCTGGAGAATCCCCAATGACAGAGGAGCTTGGCAGGCTACAGTCCATGGGATCGCAAAGAGTCAGACACAACTGAACGACTAACACTTTCACTTCACTTTTCGCAATAAGGAGTGTCGATAGGTAGTGGATAGCTAGAGATAGGTGGGCGTGAGCAATTATTTCCGAGTTTCTGTTAATCACCACGTGGGGTACAGTTGTGGTTTATATGACGTTGCATATGTTGATTTTCCTCTCTCGAGGCCATTCACTTTCTCTGTCGACTTTCAGAAAATCTGAATTCAATCGATGTAGATGGCAGAGTATTACATATGCCCGCTTGCCATTCACACATTAATTCCTTGGTTGGCTTTCCAAAATGAGTTAGAAAAAAAGAAGAGCACCCAAGAAGCTCTGAAAATGACACAGAAACTAGAAAAGGCAAAGAGAAATCTGCCTGAAAAAAGTTGTTACTGCTGCTAGTTCACTGTCACTGAAGTATTTGCAGTGAAGGCAAGATTTCATTGGATATTTACTACGAAGTCCCCCTTGGAAACTTGGGCTATTTATGAAACAATAAATAAGCAGCCTGAGTAGTTTCATCAGTAGCCCAAGTTTCCACGGGCTTTGCCACAGATGTGCTTAAAACCTGCACACACAGTCCACTGTATTCTTTTTGTATGCTCTCTACCATATATCCACCAAATTATAATCTTTTTGTATGCAGATCAGGTAAGTATATTTATATATAAAACTGTCCATTTGCACCTACAAATCTAGTGACAGCACTCATGTCTGTCATGAGTTAGTGAACCCAAATACCAATTTAGAGTTCCCTACTCCCATTTTGAATACACAAGCAAGTTACTTTTCTGCTTGACTAGCCATTCATAGAGATAGCCTTGGTAAAAACAGATTTGTCCTATGCACCCATTGTAACCCCTTCTGAAAATTTAGCCCTTGAAGTCAACTACAGTGTGATTCTGCTCAAAAACTTAACTATTGGTACATGTTGAGAATGATTCCATTTTCCTTAACGGTAACTATAATTGGCTTTCCCCTTTTCTCTTTTTAAATTTCCCCCCCTCCCACGCTGTGTTGCTTTGCACTGACTGTGTTTGCATGTTGCACCCTGGTGTATCCATCGTGGTGATGTCACATGGCTTGTTGCTGCGATACCTGCCACGCCCCATTCCATCGTTTGTATCATGGTTGCTCCACCCTCTGGTGCGCTGCTTCCATGATTTCCTGCCGAAAGTGCCCATGATGCACAGTGCTACACCTTCCACCATGTCTGCAGCACCACCACCTGCTGCCAGCATTCCCTTCGTTGCAACAGCTCCGGGCAATCAGGTTTGGCCATTTATTTCACCTGTTCGGACCTAGCTAACTACAGTGTGTTGATGAGGCACAGTGTATGCTTTGGAGATTGGTGAGAGATATTAGTCTCTCTTAAGCCATTCTTAGATTTAGAATTTTTCTGTAAATTCTGGACAGATGTTCCTGCTTTGCTATTCATCTTGAGATGAATCAGCAGAATAGGCTCTTTTAATTGGTTACAGGTGTTACTCTTGCTCGATTATATATACAGTTGTTGCTACTACACCAATCCTCAAATACATATGCTAATTTTTTCAATGTTTCCTCATTGGTTGAGAACAGAATTTACTTTACTACCATTTCTAGTTATTGCATTTGAACTTTTGCTTAGTAATATCATCACCGTTGTCTTCAGGTCTACTGGAAAGAAAGATAACACATTTCTTTCCAAGGCACAGATATGCTTATCATTACCCAGTGATTACATCAGAAATTCCTACTTATACATTAAATGTGTTTGTGCTGTTTTAATTTTCATTTGCTTGAGGTTTTTACAGGCAGAGTCACAAGGCAGATTATGAATTTTGGGGAAGTCTTGAAATTGTAAGGAGATACTTAAAATAATTATTGTGTAATATGATGGGCATTTCACCTTATTAAAATGGTAACCACGCTTTAAGACTTTAAGTCCACTGCTGTTTTAATTACAAGTTGGATAACCCTATAGGACACAGAGCATTAATTCACTGGAGGAAATAAACCACATTCTAACCTGTGCTTTGCAACATTAACTATTACTGGATATGGTTAATATGTCTAAATTTTTCTATGAAATTGATTAAGGGTTTTGATTACCATGTCCAAGCAGTGAACAAAATAAATGGAATTCTCTCAAGAAACTGTTTTAATCTAAAATCTTTTTTACTACTATAGATACCCCCATTATCAATAGATGAACTGAATAACAACAGCATGTTTGTTATACAGATGTAGAAGTTCCCAATAGAACAGTAAGTTTCTTTAAGTATTAATGTAATATTTGTAGGTTATATCTTTTATCTACACAGTTGCATTTGCTAAAGAGTTTGGTAAATATTTTCATTAAGAGACATTGTTTATAACTTTAGAGCTCAATTTAAGCATTCTAAATTTTCCACCTCGAATTGTAGAGAGCAAATATGTGATTTTTTAATATGGAAATGACAGCTGGTATTGTATTTTCCCAATGAGCTTATAAATTCCCAAATGCTTTCCCATTATTAAAGGGGTATGACTGGTTAGCCAAAGACACAGATCGCTTCTGAATTTGAATCTTTTAACATTTTTCTAGCTTTTTTTTTTAAATTGAAATAAAGCTAGGTAATTTTGTCACAATTTGATTAAGATGATGATCTTAAAGATAGTAAGCAATATGCTTCTCCTAAGACATTAAAGAGTGCTTTCACATTCTGCCACTTTGTGTTGCTTCCCATGTAAGTCTAGCAGATTTGCTCCAGCTGTTTTCAATTTTCAGTGACTTAATTTAGTAATTTAATCATTATTTTCATTCAAATCATGACACCTTTTTTTTGTGATTTTTGTTGCTGTTTTCAGAGTTTCCCCCCTTCACCTTTGATTTCCTATGCGTGGTCCAGAGCCTGTAATAGCAACACACTTAAACTGAGCAGTGATTCACTTGGAACATGTGACTTTGGAAGTCACTTAAGACTCTGAGGCATCTTGATTGATTATAGGGAGTTACTAAAAAAAAATACACTGCTTCTGAATTGCATCCATTAGTCAGTGAAAGCTTGAAGTTTTCACCATGGGAGTGTCTGACTTGGTTGAAGGAGGCAACAGTGCCGTTCTCTTGATGGACTGGTTCCCCAGAAGCGAACTAGCATTTGTTTCTTGCTGAGGACACGCAGGCCCATAACACTAATGGTTCTGGACAGAGCATATAGACAACTGTACATTAGACAAACAGGCCCCCTTAATCATAAAGAATGTTCTAAAAAGACATCTTTGCATATACAAAATAACTGAAGTAGCTGTATATTGTAGTCACTTTCAGAGGTATCATTTGTTATAGTGGCAACTTGGGAATAGCACCAAACGTGAGAATAATACGTTTTATAAACATTGACCTGATTTTCATGGACTGCTTCACATCAAGGTAAACAAAAGTGGTCAAATACAGTTAAATTTCCAACAGAACATGTTTGGGAGTAGTGATCCCTTTTTGCTTGATTCCATGAGAAAAGTTAGATTTGGCACACCATAATCATTGCAACATGTAGCAGATGTTGATCATTTTTCCAGAATGCAACAATGTAATCTTATAAAATACTGTGTACCCAGAATTCACACTTAGGCCATTCCTGCATAGGTCCAAAACATTCAGATAAAAAAAATTAAAGTTTGTTTAATACTTGCATATTTCAAAATGGAATCAAGTATATTTTCTCAATATATGCTTGTTGGAAGAAGTGGATGGATGGGTGGATGTTCATCAAAAAGCTTTGGCATTGTGCATATAATACCTTAAATCGTTGAGTGCGTCTCTGATAACTTAAGGTCTTACTTAAGTGTCTACATTGGCACTCAGCGAGAACCATGGACTGTCATGGTATGTGACTCCTTAGTAAACATTCCCAACAGTTCAGTTTTCACAGAGGTAGACTATGAAATTCAGGATGGGGAATATCTTGGCATATGGTTCACACAGAACTAGAACAAAAAAAAACAAACAAAAAAAAAAAAAGAACTAGAACAAAAACCAAATATCCTGACTCCAACTCCGTAATCATCCAATATTTCTCACTCTCTTTTTTTTTTTTTTCCATTTCAGTTGAAATTCTGAACAACAGAGTTACAGATTACCAGAATCTCTCTGTGAGGACCTCCACGTGGCCTTTCTATATTCATTCACGTATGTCCTCTTCTACCAACACAACAATAAGCGTGGTGCAGTCAATATATTAAACATGCCAACCAACAAATTCAAAGAAAAAATAAGGCATTAAACAAAGGAGATGTTAAAACACAAATGGAAAATGAAATAACTACCATCTATCTTATTTGAATTATTATGTCAAACAGCATAACGTTTTATAATTCATCACGTGTTTCTCTGTGATTTCCCAGTAACTATTATGCTGAGTGAATCTCTAAAGTGGACTGTTGGCTTATTGTGCATTCTTGGTGGATAAATGTTTCTCTGTTTTGAAGTGTTAACCCTACCAGTTTGTTTACACAGTAGTCTATTGGGCTGATTTAGAATGTAACACATATATCCAGTACCATTTTCTTCATTATTGTATCATATTGTTGTGTATTGTGTTAGGTTTTTACATAGTATATAGTGTTTTGCTGTAATGTGTGGTGTTTGATTTTAACTAAAATGTTATCAATGGGAAACAGAAACACATGTGCTTGAAAAAGATGACAGGTTAATATTGATATGCTCTCTCTTTAGAATATTTCTGTAGGCTTCTTGAGGCAGACATTTAAAGGGCCTCTCTTTTGAGTATGTCTAAAACCTGTTCGTAAACATGCATGTATATAATTTGTACCTGTAGATCTGATCTTGTATAGTACAGTCAACGTTACTAGATTTTTCTGTGAGAGAGAAAAATTACCTGAAAATAGCAGGGAACTTCTTAAAACATTAACCTGAATTTCACTCCTTAAGTAGCTTGCAAAAGCTACTTAAAGTAAATTCTGGATTTACCTTTAAATGGTTTTCTCAGCATTTAGACTATGAATTGTGTAAAGTGCCCATTACAGTTTTTTGTGGCTCAAGAATCCTGTCTTCTAGGTTGAGTGTCTAAAACTGAGCGATTTGTAATCTTCAGCTGAAAAATTGGTCCTTGGGAGCTTAAAGGTATTCTAATTACAGGTTATAAATTAAGTAGAGAGAGGAGGGGCATGGAGATAGTTTTTACGTTTTGGAGGAAGTGTGTAAAAACCATTGCACTGTAACCTTTGACACAAGTGCCATTTTCCAAATGGAAATGGCTCATGCTCTTTACACTACTCTGAATAACAAGGAAGATGCAATCTGGAACAGTCAGTCAGGGTGAAGGAAAATTGGTTCCCAGTGAGGCCTTTCCTCCCCAAATGGACAGTCTTTTCTGTTGATCACAGTTGGAGACTGAGTATAGGTTTGGAGAAATGGCGGGGCTGGGGAAGGAGGGAGGGAGCCACTTGAAATTACTCTTCAATTCATTTAAAATTTCTAGGGAAGGATGGCCACAGTTGTCTTTAGTTTCAGTTCAACTGAGTTTTCCATTTTGTTAAAACATTTCAGTGAAGGAGCAAGCACCTGGGATATATGTTACTGATACATTTTCGCCTTCCCAAACTTTATTAGCAACAGAATCTCTCGTATCACAACCAAACTTCTTTTTTGTTTCTTTGGATTTCTTTTTTTTTTATATGTTTTGAAAATTGTAAGAGAGTTTGTAACACCCTTTAGATGAAATGGAGTGACTGCACTCCACAGAACTGACCTGAATTCACACTACTAATACTTTTGAAATAATTGAATAGCCAAGTAAAATAGTAATTAATTCCTATGGTATGTCACATACCTCCTCCACCCCACTCAGTTATTAAAGTTACTGTTATTAATGAGTGGTAGAACCACATGATAATTTGCATCAGTTTAGATAGATTTAGTATTTTCTATTAAATATATGTTCCTTCACTGGAAAGTATAAAGTCATCAAATTTGTTGTATGTCCCAAGTTTATTATTCTCCTTCATGAAAATGACAAGCCAAGGGAAAATCAGGTTTTGGATACCTCAAGGCAACTAGTAGTATTTGAAGCACAGAACAGTGGAACTGGCAAAAACCTTTTCACCGCCAGGGCATGTGACTTGTCCAGGACTGCCTAGCTACTTGGTAGAAGTTGGACCCTGAAATATCTCCTGACTCCTGGTTGTTCCTCCATTTCACATTGTCTGTGCTTCAGAACATTTGAGACTCCAGCCCAAAGCAGATCGTTTTGGCTCAGAATACAAAAGAGCAAAATTAGCTCTTCAGTAGCTGATATCCTGTTGAACTTAATTATCAATTCAAATCATGATCATCAGTGATTTCTAAGTGATCTTGCTTGTATTGAACCACTGTCATCTGCTAACAGCGTTGTCTGGAGTTAAGAGAACAAGAGGCGTGTTGACTTTTACCTACTGGTCCTTTGAACCACTTAATGTCTGTTTCCCAAAATCTTAACTCTGTACTCTGGCAATGTTACTTGTGTTTGGAGCTGAGTTTTATAAAACCTGTCCTGGGGCCTCTCCAGAAGGGCAGATTTGATCGAGGAAGGATGTACCTCAGCTACTCTAGATGTATTCCTTAAAAGAGACAGAGACATCTTCAGTGTGAAATGAAGTTTTTTGGGTCATTTGACGTTTTGATACAGCATACTGTCTAATTTTTAAACTTCTGACAAAGATGTACATGGACAGTAAGCCTTGAGTACAGCTGTTTGCATGTTGCCTTAAGCACTGGAAGACATGAATGAATAGTGATGTACTTTTGAGTAAGATGTTCGGTGAGAGATATTCAGGGTAGTGGTATTTTTGGTGCCACAATTTTTTTATATTGTTGGCATTTTAAAAGTTGCTTTGTGAGTAAATTTAGAGAAAGAAAACTCAAAGCACTAAGGTTCTGATGTGAAAGAATTTTGACAAAAATGCAATATTAAGATAGCACTCTTTAGTTGTGCAATGACTTATTCAAATGATCTTTATTCAAGAAAAGACAAGTCATAGACTATAAAGTTCTGGTGAAAAAGAGAAGTCACAAAACTAATCAGTGACTCTAAATGACAATTTACTGGATTAAGTGTATATATGTAAAATTCTAATCACTTGTGATTCTTCGTTAACATTTTATAAGCTTTGTAGTTTATAAGGGCCTCTTTTTTATTTATCCAAAATTATTGTTTTTGTCCTCTTCTCTCAGTCTCTTTCAAAAATACACAAGTGTGCTGCAACTTGGATAA